ATGCTATGTAATGAATGTAAGACAGTCTAAGTTATCATGGTAAGCAATAATCCGAGACCCTGTTAAGCCACTGTTTTAATTTACCAAGCAGCAATGTACTATAATGTAGCATGGGCCTGTGGCTTACGTCAGTACTGAATCAAGAAATACCAAACACGAAAGTAAAGAATAATGGTATGTAATATCCACAGTGTGCAGGATTTGGTTAAAGGACAGGCAAACCAAATGTCATGAAGCTGGGGATAAGTTTTAAAGCCCAAAAAAGTTTTATTTCTATGTGTTTATGTTTCAATTGATTCAATTGAGTCTGTATTGTGGACTAATATGAATATCATTATCAAAAGAGATATATATATTTGTATGTGCTAGTCACACTTTAGTAATGGGAAATAAGATTTTACTCATAAAATGACATGATAAAGATCTGCCACCTTAATTAAGTACTTGAAGAACCTTTAGACCATGATATGTTAATTATTAGATTTTCATCCAAATCTTTTAAAAATATACAAAACATTATATCAGAGACTATATGTTAGTCCAGGCCTATTTGGCTCACTGCCCTTTTACCCAAAGTTGAGAGTCATGTAATTTGAACTACCCTACACATACTTCATGTGCATATCATCTTTCTCAGGGCTCAGTGCAAACAATCTGCAAGGGTTGTTTAGCAGAATTTATAATATCAAACATATTTTCATTGTGATTTGAATAGAAATAGAAAATTAAAAAAGGACTGTGTTTACTATCCAGCATGGTATGAACTCCCAGTCTCCGACATCAAATATTTGTATCCCAATACATATTGTATCCTAGGCTGCATAAAAGAATGATTCCCTTAGTCACATTTGTTTCAAAAACAATGACTTAGGAAAATTTTGAATAATTTGCCCACCATGTATACCAACAAACACAACTGTGCATGCATAAAACTCGGTTCTTTAATAATATTAGTTGTCAAGCATTTTATTTTTGGAGAACAGAGTTTGCTTTGTATGAGATAGGAATCTTTTTAAAAAATATTTTATTGGCAATAAAATACTGACGCACAGGATTAAAAGTGATGCGCCAATGCACGAGAAACGTTTCCTCTTCGTTTTATGTAGCCTTAACGATGTTAACCATTGTGACACGAAAACAGATCAGTTTCTTTGTACCACTGGCCATCACGGGAGGATGTAGTGTAGAAACACGTCACGCAAGTCCACTGATAATATCTCTTATTCTGTATCATGAATAATATCAACGAGCTGAACAAGTACGACAAAAATGGTTGACAAGAGCTGCCTGTAAGTTGTGTTGATGTTGTGTACAGTTTGTTGAGTTAAAGGTCATCTTGGGTCACGGTAGTGGTGACAGGGTAAGTCATTGAGATGAATAGACTGATTGCCCAGTATCGAGTTCAGGCAAAGGGAATATCTGTCATCAGCCTGTCAGTGCTTTATGATGGAGTTGACTGTACTATACTGTGCAGTGTTGAGGAATTCTGCCCTGAAATACTTGTGTTGCCATTATTTTGCCAGACCCTGGTGAATCTGCATCATGCTAATCAAAAGAAAAATTATAAAAACATATCTATTTTGAAATTGTTTTTACCATATCAACAAATGTTTTTTTTAATGGTATTCTGCCATCAGTATTAATATTAATCACTTTGTGGATTGATCTTCTCTATACCTGGTACCTCTTATTGTGAAAAATTTGTATGACACAATTATTTTAATGACTTGGTTTTTCCACAAGCCCTTAATTCCACAAGTGAGTTAAAGTTTTAAAGTACAACATTCTTTCCTAGCTGCTGGGTGTTTACAAATTTCAAAACTTAACAAAAAAGGAAAGAAACTTCAGACATTGTGGTATGTTAAAAACTGGTTCCCCTTCGACTTCTCATTTCAAAACATACTTTTCATTTCCACTTAATTTCACAAACCAATAATTCTTTTAGAAATAACTTTAAAAAATATCTGAAATGTTATGTTTATGCTTATTCAACCATTTACCTTTTATTTTGGGAGAAGAATTAATCTGTGTCCCAGACCCAGAGAATAAATTAATAAAGGAGTTTAGATTGGCTCAGCTCTGAAATTAAGGATTGTTCTGGGCTCCAGTTGGATTGTGTTTTAATATATTTTGTAGATGTATATTTTCAAATAAGATGACTTTATTTCTGGGACTAAATATCAGTCTCGAGAATGTAGAATGTGATTAAAGAAAAATTGTCGCATGAACATTATGAATTAGAAGAGACAGAAATAAATAAATGGTTACAAATGTAGCTGGTTGTATGATGTCACCTCTGTAATGCATCATCAATGTGGAGCATGAAGAGAATGGACTTTGTTATACCCTCCTGTGTTCTGTCTGGGTTAGGGGGCACGGGTGGCTCGGTTGTCTGAGGCGCCGCGATTCGCTGTGCAGAGTTGCGTCCCTTGGGCACGCCAGAATCCTATGATTGTCGGTTCAAATCCTGTTTCGCCCGATTATGTTTCGAGGTTTGTCAGCACCATACCCTTTGCTTGTGGGTTTTACCGAAGTGGTAAACATCTGAGACCTGCATTCGGGCTTTCCTCCCACATTAAGCTGACATGCTGTGATGTAACTGGAAATATGTTAAAACCCAACTCACTCACACTCACTCACTCTGTCTGGGTTATTATGAATATAGTTTATGCCAATTACTGTAATACTTTAACATTAGATGCAAACATCACTGTATATACAGGAGTGTTGGCTTTTAAATATAATGACTGCAGCAGCATCCGTGTATATATCCGCATGTGTATTTTTGCATGGTCTGTTACTTCGCTGATAATTACTTGCTATGTTATGCTATGTTATCATCTGAGTAAAGTGAGATGACATTGCCTTACATGCAGCAGAGGAGAGTCCTAAGAAAGGTAATGTGTCAGTGTAGCTGTAAATGGTTGTAGCTGTACATGGTGTACTCAGTTGCATGTGTATGGTATGTGATAGATAGATGACCTTTGTTTTGTTTACGTTTCGTTCTGGTTATGTTGTTGCATGCTGTAGAGTTAGAAATAAACAATAATATCTGTCACGGTGAACTATTATGAGGGCACATATTTCCTCAGTGTTATTGTATCAGGACAAAAACAGTAAAATAAAAACTCCATGCTTGTTTATTTCTAAATTCATTTGAGCCAAACTCAACATTTTCAAGTCAAAAAATATTTTTGGGAAAATTTATTATTTCTTTGTCTAAACATGGTAAAAGGACATTTATTATATATTTTTTTTAATCATTGAAAGAAAGGTTCAACTTCAGTACATACACATATAAAATGTATTTATCATTCAACAAAACATGCATTTTATGGAAAAAGGCCTAAATGAATATTTTGTTAAGACGTCCAGGACACAAAACAATATTTTCAATATAACTTTATGTCAATCAAATCGTATTCGTAATGTAACTTATAACATCTGAGCATGATTCAGTACAAGTCAGCATATGATAACGTTTATTTATATCTGACTAATTCCATTAATTGCTTTCTCAGTAGCGTGTGAGAAAGTTTTCAAGAGACAGGAAATTCCTGTGTATACAGCACATGCCCTTTCCTACAGCCAGGGCCAGTGAGACAAGTGGGACTCCACAGTGTCAAGGCCCATTTCCGTTCTCCCTTCTGTGCTCTTATAGTGTAATTAGATCTACTTGGCCAGGGCCCACTTGCACAAAGCGATCTTAGCGCTACGACTATTGTAAGCCTATGTTAAAATGTAGGAGTTTCGATCATCTTAGCGCCAAGACAGTGGAGTTTTGTTACATAGAAACTTACACTGATCCAGTATTTTTAGAACTGAAATTTGGACAACTTTTGTACCCAATTATTTTTTTATTATGTATGTTTGTAATTGTATTGGGATGGATTTAAAGGGTTTTGTATGAGATGTTTATGTGAAAATTGAGTGTTAGGGTGAAGGAATATAGAAACATAAGACTTTTACATAAATCTGATTTTTTTTATTTCTGGTACTCAATGGATCATGGATCTGATGGTTCCAATTTACAGAGATATAATTTGTTAAAAAGTAATTGTTCAACCATGTAAATATCAATAAACTTCTTTTAAACCTTAGGGGTCGGTATATCCATGTAAGATTAATTTTAGTTTAGATTTAAGCTGTGCATAGGAAGGCATATTCTCTGCCTATTTTCTTGTCACGTTAATCAACAAAAAGATGTGTTAACTGCTGCTTTTGGCACTTATTTTATTTTGAGACTTTTCTCACCTCCATCTGCGGGGCCCACCTAAATAGATCTGTGATACTTGTAAAGAAAAATGTTGGTGTTATATTATGAACACAGACCTTGAGAAAACTTCTGAGAATAATAAAAACTCCAGTTGAATATTATGCTGAAAAGGTTTGAGATTAATACTCTTGATCATCTGAGGGAAATTAAAGTATAGGATTAATATAGTTTCATTCAGTAACTTAATATTATTTACCGTATTTGACGTAATAAGCGCCCCGTTCTAATAAGCGCCCACGGCGATATTTGCTAATATATTGGCTAGTGAACAATCCCAATTGGCACCCCTTTCAACTGATCAATGTACACAAGACTTATTTTTTCACGTATAATACGCACTCGTGTGTTATATGCACCCTTAATTATGGGCAATTAAATTCTGGAAAAATATATCTGTCATACATAAACATTTCAGGCTGTCAGCATAAACCACAAAATTTATCTTTCAACTTTTTTTCACCAAAATAACATTCTAATAACGGCCCCCTATTTCTAATTTTGAGAGTTCCCTGGGCGCTTATTATGTGGAATACAGTAATTATGATAATAAATGTGGAGTTAATGTAGCCCGTAATCCAAAAACAAGAAACAATAAATATCATTTCTTATACAGGCAATTTTGTAAACACCTGGTTATCATCACATATTTTCGGTGATCAATTTATATAATTTTCACTGTTATTTTGCCTTTAATGCCCAATTGAATCTGTTTTGGCAGATAATGGAGGGGGATTATTCTCTTGCAGTGACATTTCCATGTTGTATATCACAAAACAGGAAAAATTGAATCGGTGATGATAACTGCTTAGCTGACACCAAATTAAGCAATAATGAAATGAAATTGCCATTTTTAAAGTAAACGAATTACTGGAGCAACAAGCATTTCAAGTTACATGAACGTAATTATGGTGTAATTCAATCATGATAGGGAATACACTGACATTTGAACTAGCACTGAATGTCAGGTGAAACACCTGCAGTGTGTTTCACATTATTGTCAAACAAATCCAAGGCCACGTATGCTGGCCCAACTTTATATATCCAAGATATTTACTCACGAAGACGGTGAGTGTTCAAGAACAGCTGACATCAATAAAGCATGTAACCGTCCTCCCACGCTGTTACTCGCTAGGTATAGAATTTGTCATACATAACGCCTAACTCCAAGCATTGACATGTATTGAAATATGCAGGAGAACTCTCTTGTCCCACTGCTGAAAGATCGTAGCTCATGTTTTTGTGTGCATACAATGCGTCAATGTTGACTCAAGGCCTGCTGGCAACTTTTTGGGGGTTGTGTTTTCCTTGAGGCAGGCACTGTTTATACTGTGCTGTGTCGAATGTGAGGCGGTGGTGGTGGTGGTTTAGTCAGTGGAGAATCGTGGCAGAAGTAAGCTCGTGATCGACTGCATACAGTTGGTGCTTTCACTGCCGACAATGCATGGTAGTATATCATTTTGCTTGTGTTGAATTCTCATCGCTAATGCCATTTTTTTGTATGCTTTGGTTTTATGTCTAATAAGCCGTAAGTGTTCTCTCCTGTTTATTATTTCTGTCCTTGATTAAGTTATGTGTCTCCAATGTTGTTGTTATTAGCATGTAAATGTTCGACACAGATGACTTCACTCAGAGTGTCAACCACTTCCCATGAGGAGGTATAATTTAATAAATCACTTCGAATTTTTTTTACTTTTGATAAGTTAATGGTTCATTATGACATTTATCATAATTCTGCTTATGGTATGAAGCTGACTTATACTCTGAATATGTAATCAATCAAACATTAGATGGTATTTAGAAAATTTAGCCCACATTATATTTAAACACCTTTTTTTATCAAATCAGTGTTCATTAATGTTCATTACTAGATGTTGTGTTGAAGTTTTTGGATTGAAATAACTCTCAAATAGATCTTAGTCATTTCTTCAAACTGATTAGGTTAAAGAAGACATAAAAACAGACATGTTGATATAATTTCTAAACATTTAAGCAGCTAATAAATTGCTTACAAGTAGAAATGTTGCGATAACTCCTAAGCATATTAAGTGTTAATCAATGACAGATAAACAGACATTTTGATAAACGTTATTATATGAACAGATGGAAATTGAAAGGTTTCTATGTGTGTTATCAGACTGATTAAGTAGTTAAGTATTGAACCAACTATCAGTTTGCGCATCATGCAGTGACAGCTGACTTCAATGTTTCTCCTTTCATGTAGGTTTTTTCTGCTGTTGTGCTCAAGCATTACCATAAGGAATAATGTGTTGTGTGTATATTAATAGTTACGCTGGAGGGTGTGTAAAATATAATAGCCTTATGGTCTGATGTGTGCTCCCTACAGGGGCCATGAGATTGCAGTTTGTATAGTCATTAGTGCATTACCATGTTTGATATGCAGATAGCTGGGTGTTGAATCACGGAGTTGAACACTTCAAATTACTCCATTCGTCAAAGTATTGTCAAAGTGTCATCAAAGTCATCATTAATCTTCCTAGATTTATGTGTTTCTGTTAATTGGGCTCAGGTTGTCAGTGTCACATATGGTATTTTGATCATGAGAGGTAAGTTTTCGTTAAATTGCATACTGTTCCATTTTGAAGTATTTTCTGTTTTATTTCAAGAAAATTATTCTTAGACCCTGTTGGTTCCGAACATGAGAAAATATGTATTGAATTAATGCTCTTAGAAATATGGTACTGTCATTTTCATTGGTTGTTTTGTCACTGGTTTATATTCTTTAATGCCTATTTTCAGTGGTAGACATGATCGTGTACTTGAGGGACCGAAACGGGATCTTCTACAGTATAGAAGATGGCCATCTTGCCCAAGCGGAGGAGCTTCTGGATATGACAATGAAGGAACAGGGCTTGAGTGAGGTCGCCCGCGAGGTCTTCGCAGTATGGCTCGTCTCAGAGCTTCTTGGTGGGTAGTTACAAAGAGGAGCTGTAAAACAATTGGAAATGTGTAACAATATGATTGGTTGAAAATTAGAGGAAACATCAAAATAACACACAAAAGAAACTGTACCTATACATTGTATAGAAGATACAACACAAGTTCAACAGTGAATCAGGTGGACTCTCGGTAGGGAACATGATATGTGCACATAGCTGTGCAAATCAATGTACACATAGCGATGATTAATGTTTAAGTCCCTTGGGCACGCCAGAATCCCGGTTCGCCCTGATTATGTTTCTAGGTTTGTCAGCACCATACCCATGCTCATGGTGGTAAATTGTGTGAGACCTGTCTCACTTCGGGCTTTCCTCCCACATTAAGCTGCCATACTGGAATACTGTTAAAGCGACGTTAAAGCCCGCTCATTCACTCACTCACTAATGTATAATTGGGCGGGTGTTAGTGTTAAATCAAATGTACATAACAGTTACAAAAAAATCTTTAAAATTGGAGAAACTCACATAGGCCATGGAAAAATAACCTGATCTTGCATCTTTAAACAGTGACAGTTTTGGTATTTAGATACTTTTACATCTGTAGAACTGTGTATGTAAACTTTTATCTACAGAGATCAGGTTAAAGAAAAATCATCAGCCACATCAAGTTGTGCAGAAATGGGATGAGTTGTGTGTTCTGTATACCGATGCCAAGTTGTCTGACATTGAGAAAAGTGAGTACCACAGTACAGGGTTGTTAAGAATTATGTGTAGGCTACATCTGTGCTGTGTGTGAGCTGCATCTGAGCTGTGTGTGTGTTGTGTGTAAGCTGTGTGAGCTGCATCTGAGCTGTACATGAACTGCATCTGAGCTGTGTGTTGTGTGTAAGCTGTGTGAGCTGTCTCTGACCTGTGTGTGAGTTGTGTGTATGTTTGATTGTCTGCTGCATCTGAGCTGTGTGTGTGTTGTGTGTAAGCTGTGTGAGTTATGTATCCTGTATATATGGCATTGCCTGTATATTATGCATATGCTTGAAGATAAGCTGGTTTAAAAGTCATGTGACACACCATGCAGCGTTGTTGAAGTAACACGATTGTGGATGTCATGTGTAATAACAGCAGGTAGATTGCATAGCTGGTGTCACAGCTTATCAGCAAGCTTGTCAAAAAAAAATGCCTCTGGCTACAGCTTATCCTATAGTGTGAACGATAAGGAAATTATGACATGAGTGTATCCTACAGATTTTGCATGAATGCTGACTCATTTCTTAAAATCAATGGGATACAAAATGACATAATTTCTATTTGACACGACTCTTGGATAGTCAGGTACATGTCCCTAGTCACTGAGACTGTTCTGTTTGTGCAGGTGAGCCAGTTCTGATGATGCAGAGAGACGTCTTCTATCCCAAGTATAAAGAAAAAACTGTGAGCAGCACCTTTCTCTACTCAGAAGAAAACTGATTTTATGATATTTGATGTAGAACTTTCAATTCCTTCTAAGTTGGGTGTATAGCTGATAAATAAGTAATGAATAATGTAAGCTGATGGCTGAGTATTCACTCTTCATTTCACATGGGAAGTTACTGTGACAATATAACAGGAAGGATCATTTCACATAGGGAGTTACCGTGACAATATAACAGGAAGGATCATTTCACATAGGGAGTTACCATGACAATACAACAGTAAGGATCATTTCACATAGGGAGTTACCGTGACAATATAACAGCAAGGATCATTTCACATAGGAAGTTACTGTGACAATATAACAGTAAGGATCATTTCACATAGGGAGTTACTGTGACAATATAACAGTAAGGATCATTTCACATAGGGAGTTACTGTGACAATATATCAGGAAGGATCATTTCACATAGGGAGTTACCATGACAATACAACAGTAAGGATCATTTCACATAGGGAGTTACCGTGACAATATAACAGCAAGGATCATTTCACATAGGAAGTTACTGTGACAATATAACAGGAAGGATCATTTCACATAGGGAGTTACTGTGACAATATAACAGTAAGGATCATTTCACATAGGGAGTTACCATGACAATACAACAGTAAGGATCATTTCACATAGGGAGTTACCATGACAATATAACAGTAAGGATCATTTCACATAGGGAGTTACCGTGACAATAAAACAGTAAGGATAATTTCACATAGGGAGTTACCGTGACAATATAACAGTAAGGATCATTTCACATAGGGAGTTACTGTGACAATATATCAGGAAGGATCATTTCACATAGGGAGTTACCATGACAATACAACAGTAAGGATCATTTCACATAGGGAGTTACCATGACAATATAACAGTAAGGATCATTTCACATAGGGAGTTATCGTGACAATATAACAGTAAGGATCATTTCACATAGGAAGTTACCATGACAATATAACAGTAAGGATCATTTCACATAGGAAGTTACCATGACAATATAACAGCAAGGATCATTTCACATAGGGAGTTACCATGACAATATACCAGTAAGGTTCATTTCACATAGGGAGTTACTGTGACAATATACCAGTAAGGATCATTTCACATTGGGAGTTACCATGACAATATACCAGTAAGGATCATTTCACATAGGGAGTTACTGTGACAATATACCAGTAAGGATCATTTCACATAGGGAGTTACCGTGACAATATGCCAGTAAGGATCATGTCACATCAGGAGTTACTGTGACAATATACCAGTAAGGATCAGTTCACATAGGGAGTTACCATGACAATATAACAGTAAGGATCTTTTTACATAGGGAGTTACCATGACAATATACCAGTAAGGATCATTTCACATAGGGAGTTACCGTGACAATATACCAGTAAGGATCATTTCACATAGGGAGATACTGTGACAACATAACAGTAAGGATCATTTCATATAGGGAGTTACCGTGACAATATACCAGTAAGGATCATGTCACATTTGGAGTTACCGCAACAACATAACAGTAAGGATCATTTCACATAGGGAGTTACTGTGACAACATAACAGTAAGGATCGTTTCACATCGGGAGTAACTGTGACAACATAACAGTAAGGATCATTTCACATCGGGAGTAACTGTGACAACATAACAGTAAGGATCGTTTCACATCGGGAATTACCGTGACAATATGGTAGTAATTTTGTCCATCTCACCATTGTGGAAAAATTGTCAACACATGCAGGGTAGATTATTTTGATGTAACTTTGTTGATAAAACAAACATAGATATATGATGTGCAATAGATTGTTTATGTCAACATAACATGCAGCGTTCACACTCGATTCCGTCATGTCCATCTGGCACAAGATTATTGTATTTCAGTGAAGTGACTTTTGTCTGCAGACATTTAACAGCAAGAGTAGATTGTTAACGTTGATCAACCTACAGACAGGAACTAGTTTCAAGTTGATCATGTTGATTAACAAATTCAAGTCCACTGCCTGCTGGCATCGCAGACCTGTGGCTTACTTCCTAAAAAGATGGTACAGTAAATCCTGTTTTGAATAGTGAAGCCGCCTTCCATTTTGGCCACTGGTCTGAAGCTCGAATAAGCCTCCTTATCTGGTATGGGTAAAACCTAAGACAACCTACATGTGAATTCTGCTAAAACATATCTAACATACCGTATTTGACGTAATAAGCGCCCAGGGCACTCTCAAAATTAGAAATAGGGGGCTCTTATTAGAATATTATTTTGGTGGAAAAAAACAGAATTGAAAGATAAACTTTGTGGTTTATGCTGACAGCCTGAAATGTTTATATACGACATATATTTTTCCAGAATTTAATTGCCCATAATTAAGGGTGCATATAGCACACGAGTGCATATTATACGCGAGTAAATAAGTCTTGTGTACATTGATCAATCGGAAGGGGTGCTACTTGGGATTGTTCACTTGCCAATATATTAGCAAATATCGCCGTGGGCGCTTATTAGAGCGGGCGCTTATTACGTCGAATACGGTAGCTGGAGCAAGTGGGTTGAATTTTTTGGCACAGACTGAGACAGAAGTAAGATTTGGTATAAATTTCACCATTCTAAACCGGAAAATAAGAATAACCTTATGGATAATAACAGGTGTTCTAGGATTAAGATGGTGCCAGGTAAAGAAGAGAAAATGAAACAACCACAGGAAGACACTGGTTATTTTCTTGGGAACGTCGCATCAACATGTATACACAAGAGTTACATCAACTATGTATAATGTCAACTCATGTTTGAGATTATGTGGCAATGAGGGTAATATCTTAAACAGTTTAAACATCTGATGCAGAGGAAAGCCGTAGATCTCAGATTACAGATATATAGAAAACTGGAAGAGAGATGTGATCTGTGACAGCACTGCTACATTTGTAACTTGTGGATTCTCTATGTTGCAGATTACCAATGAGGAGATCTTGTGTTTGCTGTACCACGAGGCAAAGTTCAATGTGATCGAGGGCAGGTATCCCCTCCACCCCGAGGACTATCACACTCTGGCAGGCATACAGGCCCTCATACACCTTGGCAAATACAACCCTAGGGAGCATGTGCAGGCAGAATACAGGTGTGTACAGTCAAGGAGTAGTGTGCTTTGTGTACAGGTGGGTGTGTACAGTCAGTGAGTGGTGTACTTTTTGTACAGGTGTGTACAGTCAGGGAGTAGTATACAGGTGTGTACAGTCAGGGAGTAGTGTACAGGTGTGTACAGTCAGGGAGTAGTGTACAGGTGTGTACAGTCAGGGAGTAGTGTACAGGTGTGTACAGTCAGGGAGTAGTGTACAGTTGTGTACAGTCAGGGAGTAGTATACAGGTGTGTACAGTCAGGGAGTAGTGTACAGGTGTGTACAGTCAGGGAGTAGTGTACAGGTGTGTACAGTCTGGGAGTAGTGTACAGGTGTGTACAGTCAGGGAGTAGTGTACAGGTGTGTACAGTCAGGGAGTAGTGTACAGGTGTGTACAGTCTGGGAGTAGTGTACAGGTGTGTACAGTCAGGGAGTAGTGTACAGGTGTGTACAGTCAGGGAGTAGTATACAGGTGTGTACAGTCAGGGAGTAGTGTACTTTGTGTACAGTTGTGTACAGTCAGGGAGTAGTATACAGGTGTGTACAGTCAGGGAGTAGTGTACAGGTGTGTACAGTCAGGGAGTAGTGTACAGGTGTGTACAGTAAGGGAGTAGTGTACAGGTGTGTACAGTCAGAGAGTAGTGTACAGGTGTGTACAGTCAGGGAGTATTGTACAGGTGTGTACAGTCAATGAGTAGTATACAGGTGTGTACAGTCAGGGAGTAGTGTACAGTTGTGTACAGTCAGGGAGTAGTATACAGGTGTGTACAGTCAGGGAGTAGTGTACAGGTGTGTACAGTCAGGGAGTAGTGTACAGGTGTGTACAGTCTGGGAGTAGTGTACAGGTGTGTACAGTCAGGGAGTAGTATACAGGTGTGTACAGTCAGGGAGTAGTATACAGGTGTGTACAGTCAGGGAGTAGTGTAGAGATGTGTACAGTCAGGGAGTAGTGTACATGTGTGTAGTCAGGGAGTAGTATACAGGTGTGTACAGTCAGGGAGTAGTGTACAGGTGTGTACAGTCAGGGAGTAGTATACAGGTGTGTACAGTCAGGGAGTAGTGTACAGTCAGGGAGTAGTGTACAGGTGTGTACAGTCAGGGAGTAGTGTACAGGTGTGTACAGTCAGGGAGTATTGTACAGGTGTGTACAGTCAGGGAGTAGTGTACAGTTGTGTACAGTCAGGGAGTAGTGTACAGGTGTGTACAGTCAGGGAGTAGTGTATAGGTGTGTACAGTCAGGGAGTAGTATACAGGTGTGTACAGTCAGGGAGTAGTGTACTTTGTGTACAGTTGTGTACAGTCAGGGAGTAGTATACAGGTGTGTACAGTCAGGGAGTAGTGTACAGGTGTGTACAGTCAGGGAGTAGTGTACAGGTGTGTACAGTCTGGGAGTAGTGTACAGGTGTGTACAGTCAGGGAGTAGTATACAGGTGTGTACAGTCAGGGAGTAGTATACAGGTGTGTACAGTCAGGGGGTAGTGTAGAGATGTGTACAGTCAGGGAGTAGTGTACAGGTGTGTAGTCAGGGAGTAGTATACAGGTGTGTACAGTCAGGGAGTAGTGTACAGGTGTGTACAGTCAGGGAGTAGTATACAGGTGTGTACAGTCAGGGAGTAGTGTACAGGTGTGTACAGTCAGGGAGTAGTGTACAGGTGTGTACAGTCAGGGAGTAGTGTACAGGTGTGTACAGTCAGGGAGTAGTGTACAGTCAGGGAGTAGTGTACAGTCAGGGAGTAGTGTACAGGTGTGTACAGTCAGGGAGTAGTGTACAGGTGTGTACAGTCAGGGAGTAGTGTACAGGTGTGTACAGTCAGGGAGTAGTGTACAGGTGTGTACAGTCAATGAGTAGTGTACTTTGTGTACAGGTGTGTAGAGTCAATGAGTAGTGTACTTTGTGTACAGGTGTGTACAGTCAATGAGTAGTTAACTTTAGTTTTGCCACAGTTACAGTCAAGGTTAGTGAGTCAGGGACATATTACATAGTTACATACTTCCAGACAGGCCTGGCCTTGTGAATAGATTTAACTACCTATATATCATCTATGCCAGAGTACCCTGAGAAGTTCCAACAAAATGGCAGCATCACTTTGGGATTCCTTACTCATGGAAGCTGACACGCTGTGCACCCGCGAAGATCCGGAGTAGAATAGGTCTTCAGCAACCCATGCTTGTCGTAAATGGCGACTGTGCTTGTCGTAAGAGGCGGCTTACAGGATCTTGCTGACTTGGTTCATGCACATCATCGTATCCAAATTGATGCTCATGATGTCAATCACTGGATTGTCTAGTCTGTATTTTTTACAGACCGCCGTTGAATTGCTGGAATATTGAGTGCAGCGTAAAACGACAAACAAACAAACCAACAGACTAACAAACATGTTGTGGTATAACTGAAATCAGACCAAATATTTCTTTTCTGGAGATGTGAACATGGACGTAAGTCTGAAATACGGATCAGTTGAACCAAGGTTGTTCTGAGTTCCAGGAATGAAGTTTCTTATTAAGGTTTGAATTCCTGTAAAGGCTGGGAGTGTGTGAACAATCAGAGGCCATGTTCTTACAGTCGAGCATATGCATGAAAAATTCATCCAATCATACTCAATGATGGAAATACATCTGCAGATGAAAGGCAACTCTATTGTTTCAGGGCAAACCTGATCAAGTTCTACCCAGACCACATGTTCCAGAAGGAGAAGTTCCTGTTCTTCACGAGGAAAGACGAGAGTGCCAAATGCGAGGAACAGTTCATGACAGCTCATGCCCGCTTGTCCGAACAGTATGAACAACAGGACGTGCAAACAGTATTGGGCAATCTCTACCGGCAATACCTGGATATATGCTGGTCTTATCCATTCTATGGGTAAGATATGCAGGCAGTATTTATGTTGTTGCACTTCTTGGTGATGTTTGTAATTTCATTAAAGGGAAACCCTCGTCTAAACATTTTAATATCTTCATTTGGGAAATTTATACATTCGGTAATCTTTTAGATTGACACTCATAGTAAACATTTGAGTTGACCATCAATTCCTTCTGTCTAACTTGTTGTGCAGGGATGTGGAATGTCAGTGCCCAACTTGCCTGACTCATGTGAGACCGTTGGACAAACAAAACAATCAGCTTCAGTTGTCTGCAGAGAACTTTAATATGTAGCAGACCTTTGGTCAATTTTGGATAACTTATTGGTAACAAGTACTACACATGTCTATACAAGTGGCATTTAGAATTGATACACATAAGGAAGAGAATTTATGGATTTCAACTTCTTTATTATGAGGAATACAATGTTTCGGAGTGCATGTATATACTTATTCCTTCATCAGGTGAATATATGCTATGAAGCAATGAACATATATGTACCTTTAAGAGCAACAAAAGTAATAACATATATAACAATGGTGGAAACTTAACAAGGGAAGCCAACAGTTAATTAGCGCTAATAGGTGATAGCAATTGACAACTGAAAGCCAGGACTTAAATTATCCCTGATTGGTAATAGGTAGTGGACAATGGACAAACAGGAGGCAGGGGTAATTAGCACTGATAGATAATAGAATGGAAATGGCAATGGCTCCTTGTAATTTCCTTTATTGACAGTTGTTGTTGTTGTTGTTGTTGGTAGACAAGACTTTGGTGGCCATACATAATGTTATGGTCTTGGTTCTTGAGGATGTGTTCGGAAATAGTGGATTTCAGGTCTTTTTTTTGACAGAGGTCTGATGTTCTTTGAGTCTGAGGGTTTCTCCCATGTGCTAATTACAATGGCCACCCACTTCATTTCTTTACCAAGTCAATTTGGAAATTTTAATTGTAACAAAAGAAATTCACACAGCATAAATATTCCTTCAATGGTGCTCTCATTATGAGTGTTGATGCCATATAAAATATTATATAAAATATTCACAACAGTATGATGATGCAGCCTTCATTATCTACATTCAGAACTGGTCATTCTAAATTCATTTTTGGGAGACCCATGAAGATCTGGGGTAGAACAGGTCTTCAGCAACCCATGCTTGCCGTAAAAGGCGACTATGCTTTTTGTAAGAGGCAACTAACGAGATCGGCTGGTCAGTGTCCACGATGTGCTGAAGGGTATCTGTTGCTCAGGAGACACATGACGATCCGGGTTTGAATAGGTCTTCAAGAGCCAACTATGCTTGTCGTAAGAGGCGACTAACGGGATCAGATGGTCAGGCTCGCTGACTTGCTTGATGAATGTCATCGTCTCCCAATTGCGTGGATCGATGTTCATGATGTCAATCACTGGATTGTCTGGTCCAGACTGGATTATTTACAGACCAGTCATATAGTTGGAATATTGCTGAGTGCAGCATTAAACAACGAACAAACAAACAAACAAACAAAACATTTTTGGAATATAGAAATCAGATATGGCCATACTCAGAATTTAGAAACCTTTATTAGATTAGAAAAATCACCCTACATAACTTCAAATGGAGGTGTTGAGGTATTGCATCCGATTTCAATGAAATTAGTATGTAGTGCCACTGAACATATACCTAAGTCTAAAGACAAGTAAGAATTTCTGTATCCTTCCTCAGGAGTGCCTTCTTCAAAGGACAGGTGGAGACGCCTACGCGCAAGTTCATGAAGATGATCAAGAGTGCACCAGATACCAAGGTGCTCGTGGCGATCAACACAGAGGGTGTGAGCATCATAGACAAAGAAAAGGAGGTGAGTGCCGCTTCCTCCGTGTCAGACGCTCAACTGTCTTTGTAACCTATTTTACTTTAAATAGTTAACGTCAAATTTCAAACTTCTGTTCTTTGATGTTGTTAGTTTTGATGATGTGTCCTGTAAAAACTAAAATATTTACCTTCTGACAGGATCAGGTGATCAGGCTCGCTGACTTGGTTGACGCATGTCATCGATCCCAATTGCGTGGATCGATGCTCATGATATCAATCACTGGATTGTCTGGTCCAGACTCGATTATTTACAGACCGCCATCATATAGCTGGAATATTGCTGAGTGCGGCGTTAAACAACAAACCAAAGCAAAACCAAAACCTGCTATGTTTAAAAAAATTGAGCAATAAGTTAAGCCCTGACTGAGTGTTGCTTTCCATGTGTTATGGTGGATGACACAAAAATGAGGTTTTGCACATTAAATTTATGTTGGGGAAAAAACTAGGGTCTCTACGACGTGATTAGCAAATACAGTTTGCACTCAGCTGTCCCTACCACTTCTTAGACAGTTTGCCGGCTCATGTAAGTTATCTCCCTTTGTCAGTATTTGGCCAAGCTCCTTCCCCACGTGACACCTTCATTACATTCTCCATAACATCGCTGCTACCAAGGTGGACACAGCCATTACAAGAATCCTGTAATTTGCCCTCTAACCTCAAATGTAGTAATGTTTATACTTTTGTTTACGTCTTTGGGAATGCCTTTGGGAATTTTTTTATGACTGACCAGATTTCCCGGATGAATTTACCTTTCTGTTTGCTTGATCAGATTGGTTCGAGTTTGCAGACTAAGGGAAAATCACCCAACTTCCCCCTTACATTCTTATTGCAATGAAGCAGAAATTCAAATTGACAAACAAAGAAAATAATTTAGCAGTGGTAAGGGTATTCGACGTCACAGCATCCATCACTTGTTTGTGAACATAACGGTCAGTCGGCTGCGAGTTCAACCCCAAGCATGGTTGTGGCCACCTATCACAGTGGGGAGTTTTGACTGGTGGCAGCGATCGTATAGAGAGCTCCACGAACACGCTATCACTGTGAGGAGCTTGGTATTTTGCATGCTGACGCCTTTGTGAGGGCTTAAGTATTAGGGGTAAACTGATTCAGTGCTGACTGGCTCTCTTCCATTGTTAATGTCATGGTTAGTAGAAAAAAAGAAGAAAAGTATGAACTAAGTGTGTTTCGAGAGCTGGAAGGAGTGTGCATCCTCTTTTATACCAAACATTTGGAAGTTTATAGCAGATCATTAAGCTTGACATTTGTGTTGACAAAGAACAATAATTAGGACTTGGAACCAGCTCAAACCATCACCAAGCAAGTGTAATGTAACATCAAATATTTGTTTTCCTTGCACAGGTAAACAATTAAAAAGGGTTTGAAATTAATGATTTCTATGCATTGAGTAGAGAGATGTCATGTTCCTGACTGTGCTGTTGTTGTAGACCCTGCTGCTGCATGCACCGTTTGACCAGTTGCTGTGGGAGTTCCGCGAGGCCGAGTTTGACGGCGATGATGACATCATGCCCTCCCTGTTCCTGCAGTTCCTTGTCGAGGGAGAACAGGAAGTCACGAAGCTGCTACAAGTCTATTCAAGAGAGGTACTGTCTTCCTGATTTCTTTGTGCTTGTTGATTTCTGTCCTCCATATTGTCTACTCTTCACAGGTTTAAAATGCACCACATTTCTCCATCACACGTGAATACAAAGAGGGTGTGAGCATCATAGACAAAGAAAAGGAGGTGAGTGCTGCGCTCTCCGTGTCAGACGCTCAACTGTCTTTGTAACCTATTTTGCTTTAGTTAACATCAAATTTCAAACTTCCTGTCCTGTAAAAACTAAAATATTTACCTGCTGACAGGATCGGGTGATCAGGCTCGCTGACTTGGTTGAAGCATGTCATCGATCCCAATTGCGTGGATCGATGCTCATGATATTAATCACTGGATTGTCTGGTCCAGACTTGATTATTTACAGACCGCCATCATATAGCTGGAATATTGGTAGAAGTGATGTGTGTCTTTTTATTTAGGTGATGAAATGAGGCCATTCTCAGGGAAGCCAAATTGGGTGTTCTGGAAATACCACCAATGCCTTATATTGAATGTGGAGCCGTCAGCTGCACATGTTGCATGAGAAATATTACCGTTTGTGCAATGTAATCTGAGCGTTCATTGGTTGGAGCTCACTAGTTTCCCTCTCGCAAGATCCAGACAATGACTATTTTGATGGTTAAAAATAGTGATTTCTGTGTGAAGTCTTGATGGTGTATCCTCCCTCACAATCAGAATTTCAATTCAAGATTCACAGTATAAACAGAAATCTGTTTTTGTGTCTGTTTTCTGTTTCCTGAAATTGTCAGCCACGATTTTTATGACAATAATTCACTGGATCATGACATTATGGATGGATTCAATGAATAGAGCTCAATTCTAGTTTAGTTCTTGATGTCATTTGGGCCATGTGGGAAACAGACATCATCTCAGTATAATAAGCATAATTATCAACTGCTAAAATGCATCAGCAAATTTGAGTCAGCAGCAAACAAGAAGGGTTTTGAATGACTTAAGTCTGCCAGATGTGCCCAGCTTTGTTTTTTATGTCTCTTGGCTAATTACTAGATGTACATACCAGAGTAGATGTGATTTGCTATGTTGTGTGTCTCATGCTCATGATGTGCTGTGTTGTGTGTGTTGTTCCTGATGTGCTGTGTTGTGTTTGTGTGTGTGTGTGTGTGTGTGTGTGTGTGTGTGTGTGTGTGTGTGTGTGTGTGTGTGTGTGTGTGTGTGTGTGTGTGTGTGTGTGTGTGTGTGTGTGTTGTTCATGGTGTGCTGTGTTGTGTGTGTTGTTCCTGATGTGCTGTGTTGTGTTTGTGTGTGTGTGTGATTGTGTTTGTGTTTGTGTGTGTGTGTGTGTGTGTGTGTGTGTGTGTGTGTGTGTGTGTGTGTGTGTGTGTGTGTGTGTGTGTGTGTGTGTGTGGTTCATGGTGTGCTGTGTTGTGTGTGTTGTTCCTGATGTGCTGTGTTGTGTGTGTGTGTGTGTGTGTGTGTGTGTGTGTGTGTGTTGTTCATGGTGTGCTGTGTTGTGTGTGTTGTTCCTGATGTGCTGTGTTGTGTTTGTGTGTGTTTGTGTTTGTGTGTGTGTGTGTGTGTGTGTGTGTGTTGTTCATGATGTGCTGTGTTGTGTGTGTGTGTTGTTCATGATGTGCAATGTTGTGTATCTCATTATCCTGATGTGCAATGTTGTGTGTCTCATTATCCTGATGTGCAATGTTGTGTGTCTCATTATCCTGATGTGCAATGTTGTGTGTCTCATTATCCTGATGTGCAATGTTGTGTGTCTCATGTTCATGATGTGCTGCGTTGTGTGTGTTGTTCATGATGTGCAATGTTGTGTATCTCATTATCCTGATGTGCTATGTTGTGTGTCTCATTATCCTGATGTGCAATGTTGTGTGTCTCATGTTCATAATGTGCTGCGTTGTGTGTGTTGTTCATGATGTGCAATGTTGTGTATCTCATTATCCTGATGTGCTATGTTGTGTGTCTCATTATCCTGATGTGCTATGTTGTGTGTCTCATTATCCTGATGTGCTATGTTGTGTGTCTCATTATCCTGATGTGCAATGTTGTGTGTCTCATGTTCATAATGTGCTGCGTTGTGTGTGTTGTTCATGATGTGCAATGTTGTGTATCTCATTATCCTGATGTGCTACGTTGTGTGTCTCATTATCCTGATGTGCAATGTTGTGTGTCTCATGTTCATGATGTGCTGCGTTGTGTGTGTTGTTCATGATGTGCAATGTTGTGTATCTCATTATCCTGATGTGCTACGTTGTGTGTCTCATTATCCTGATGTGCAATGTTGTGTGTCTCATGTTCATGATGTGCTGCGTTGTGTGTGTTGTTCATGATGTGCTATGTTGTGTATCTCATGTTCCTGATGTACTATGTTGTGTATCTCATGTTCCTGATGTGCAATGTTGTGTGTCTCATGTTCATAATGTGCTGCGTTGTGTGTGTTGTTCATGATGTGCTGCGTTGTGTGTGTTGTTCATGATGTGCAATGTTGTGTGTCTCATGTTCCTGATGTGCTATGTTGTGTATCTCATGTTCCTGATGTACTATGTTGTATGTTGCAGGCTAAGCTGATGAATGCATTGATCAACACTTGTGTCATGAAGAAGAAGCTGAGTAGGAAGGAAGATGGTGTAGACTTTGTCGATGCGGGGCTGTTCCCTGGTAGAAATGGTGAGTACTGTAGAAGACTGTAGGCTTTGTTAGGCCAGGCTTTTTTTTATTTTTAGGATTACGGATTTTTCAGCACAAAGTCCAAGGTTGGAGGAGCGAAAAAAAAAAGACAGATGCATAAATTCTTTAATGCAGAATGCCTCTGGCATACTTTATGAACATATTCTGTGCTCAAAAGACCGCCATTTGTGACGATAAAGCCCCTTGTAACAATAAAAATTCTAACAATAAAAATTCTACCACTAGTTGTCAAGGGAGGCTATTCATGTTCAGCAAAGATCGATTATGTATCTCTTTACTAGTTTACAATGGTAAATTCATATGTGTTTTATTAAAAGGTGATGATAACAATTAAAATAACTCACTACGCGACTATCGGCAGGGGAAAAAAATGGAAATCTGATTTTTGTTTTTACATTTTCTCAAAATTAGAGTCTGCGGGTCCGTAATCCGAAAAATATAAAACACCTGGCCTTAGAAGATGGTGTAGGCTATATAGAATAGGTTGTAGGCTTTGTTAGAAGACTTTGTAGACTTTAAAGAAGATGGTGTAGGCTTTATAGAATAGGGTGTAGGCTTTATAGAAGATGGTGTTGCTTTATAGAAGATGGTGTAGAGTTAGTAGAAGATGGTTTAGATTATAAAGAAGATGACACAGACTTTGTAGAGGATGGCGTAGAATTTAAAAGGATGGTTCGTATGTGAGTGCATATCAATATGGAGATATGTACCTGGGATGCATGTGTAGTGCCCTATATAACGCCACAATAGTGACACGATAGTGACATTGTACATGCTCCTGTTGTTGCAGATACCTCTCATGCCTCCAAGGTATGTAATAAGCTGGACAAGCTCTGTTTGACAACCTACACAAAGAAAGGTGAGTCCCTTGTACCATTTCCTATATGTTTGGAATACAAAACGGTCATGAGACAGATTTAACAACTAGGATGCTGTAATTCTATTGCTGAACTCATGTTAACATCATGGGTACATTATGATTTGTCTCATTGTAGTGCAGGTCTATACTTTTCCTTACACAATTACGAATTCAGCCATTCCTAATTTCCCCCATTTTACATCTTAGTCTTAATCCTTTACAGATTAGCTGTTTCCATGTTCATGGAATGTACTTCAACACTTTTCTTGTTGGAATTATGTACTCACTTATTTTAGTGTCTCTGGTTGTCATCTTTCATTCACTGTTGGAAAACAAAACCATGTACAAAAAACGTAGTCATCTTTAAAATCTGGAATTAATGAAAAACATCTTTTGTGGCGTTGGTTTGGTTCCATCAGAATGGTGGCATCGTTTGCAGTCTTTGTAAAACATTCTCTATGAATGGTAACCAACATGTATTTATCATCCAAAACTGGCTCCCACCGGAGATATCGCTGCAATGAAATTACATCACAATGCTTTGCAGACCATTGTGACATCACTGGTTACCATGACGTCACAATCAAATGACATCACTAATGGCTCTGCTACTGAAGCTGTTAGCAGTACTTTTTACACTGAAGACACTGCTAATTAATGTCTACAAATTGAAAAAGTTGGAAGAATGATGTTGGATGATAAATAAAATCGTTGATAAAAGTGGCAAAAATCCTTGGCAAGCCTCGGAATTTTTCCACTTTTATCAACTCGTGTTGATATATTTGATATCAAAAGACACTATGAGATTCTCTATATGTGTCTTAAGTGTAAAATGTATATATGTTTACAACTTCTGGATTTAATCAATCTAAGAATTCAATAATAAATTTGATCTAAGACAATAGCCACTCAAGATTAATTCACATTGAAATGAAACATCCAGACTTCAAACATAAGGGCCTGTAAAGCTATTGGTGTTTTATTGGGTTGACACCCTGTTCTGTGTTCCCAGGTGAATGCATAGACTGAGTCAACAGCAGCACCATCTGCACAGAACGTCTCAGGGGAGGTAATCTCAAGTGCTACACTACAGAGCAACCACGGGATCAACTGGTACACACACTGAAGAATAACCTGGACAGGCCCATATTCAGTCTGTGGGTCTGCATAAATTAGATTGTGTCATCCTGGCTAACCCCATCCATATTTTTCATCCATAGATCAGGTTGTGTTAATCTTTACAGACTTGCATTCAGTCTGTGCATAGAGCAGGTTGTGTTGACCTGGGTAGACCAACATTCAGTTTGCAGGTCTAATCCTGTGCATATAGCAGGTCGTGTTGACCTGGGTAGACCAATATTCAGTCTGCAGGTCTAACCCTGTGCATATAGCAGGTCATGTTGACCTGGGTAGACCAACATTCAGTCTGCAGGTCTAACCCTGTGCATATAGCAGGTGGTGTTGACCTGGGTAGACTATCATTCAGTCTGTGGGCCTATCCCAGTGCATAGAGCATGTCTTGTTGACCTGGACAGACCCACATTCAGCCTGTATGTCTAACCCTGTGCATAGAGCAAGTCAGGTTGACCTGGAAAGACCTCACATTTGGTCTGTAGGTCTAACCCTGTGCATATAGCAGGTCTTGTTGACCTGGACAGACCCACATTCAGTTTGTGGGTCTGTCTCAGTGCATAGAGCAGTTCGTGTTGACCTGGAAAGACCTCACATTTGGTCTGTAGGTCTATGTGCATGGGTCAGGTCATGTTGGACCTTTATAGTCAGTTAACTCAAGTCACAAGTCACACAACATTGTTATTCTCCAATGTGTTTACCACTGATAAATTGGACAATTAATTGCTCGGACGCACTTCATTGACATTGTGATATTGTGATGGACTGAAAGTGACATTCTTGAAACTTGTTGTGAATTGAAAGCAGAACAGGAACTGCAAGTAAGACATTACAATGGCACATATTTGCAATATGTATTATTTTGCCATTATTAATTATTACATATCATGTCACTACTTTCAAATTTCCAGTGTTTTGTCAGATGTTTTTTTGTGTCTATACTGAGCAATGTTATATTTCCTCTCAGCTTCTCCAGGATATCAAGATAAATGTTTATGTATTGGAGTAATATCATCTTCGATGATCTAGTGCAGTATATCTCCATTCTGTTATGGTAAATACCATGGACATTTTCACTGTTCCATTCATATAATATGATGCTAATAATAGTCATCTGGTCACATTACACTCATGGGTGAAATTCTTTGCTAAGGCTAAAAAAAATAAAAGTCTTGGTTCTCAGGCACCGCCCGCATCATGATAAAGTCTGACGCTAGTTCCGTTTTTATTTCCATTTAAAAAAAATAAATCCTAATACTTGAAAACAATGCAATCCAATAGCAGGCAGTTACTTCCCTTTACATGCGCACTGCTTTACTGTGCATCTTGTGTTATGGTCATGGCGCCAGTAAGAGTTTGTATGCTTCTTTATGTAGAGAGTCCCGTTCCCAGGTTGATGGTACACAACTGTTTATTTGGTTACATACTAGTAATAGTAAGCCAAAAAACAAAACCTCTGCCCGCCCGCACTACTTTTTCAAAAGTCATTGCCTGAGAATCAATTCTTTTATTTTTTTAAGCCTAAGTTAGTGATTAGAGAGATGATATGGTGACATCACTTTTGAAATGAAGCTTTGGTGATGAATGGTTCCAGGGTATTTATCATAGTAGATATAATACCCTTGATAATCGCGATGGTGTACCGTATTCGACGTAATTAGAAATAGGGGGCTCTTATTAGAATATTATTTTGGTGGAAAAAACAGAGTTGAAAGATAAATTTCATGGTTTATGCTGACGGTCTGAACTGTTTATATACGACAGATATATTTTTCCAGAATTTAATTGCCCATAATTAAGGGTGCATATAACACACACGTGCGTATTATACACGAATATATAAGTCTTGTGTACATTGATCAATCGGAAGGGGTGCTAAATGGGATTGTTCACTTGCCAATATATTAGCAAATATCGCCACGGGTGCTTATTAGAGCGGGGCGCTTATTACGTCAAATATGGTAATGTGTCCTTCATTGTGAAATATGAAGAGATCATAGAAGCTGGAGCGTGATATGGAGAGACTGTTGTCTAATGTTAAAAATGTAAATTCAAAGCTTTGTGATATGATCATGAATCAGTGATTCCTATTCAAGTTCTGTAATACGTGCCCTGAGGTAGGATGTTTGATGTACATCAGTGTTAGCTATAATCATTATTATGAGGGTCAGATTTAGCTGATTCCAGATATAACAAAGATAATAATCCCACAGCTGCACATCGACAGTGTGAACGTCTTGTCTCTTGAACCATGCTAGTATTATTAGTTAAGACATACATATCAGTTTATAAATTTTAGATATTTGTACAGGTCATTTTTGTGATTTTATCAGTTCCAACTTACCATGACAAATAATGTTATTTTATATATCCATGTTGTAGGTGTGTGTAGTTTCATTTGCTAATGTTGATACTGCAACATGTAAACATGCAGCAACTGTCAGTATGATTGATATGTACTCTGCGTCGTTATTGAGGGGTCATGCTGATAAAAAGATTTTAAAGTATTAAAAGCAGGTCGCGTTTTCAACTTCCAAGAGTGCACTTAAGTTTCATCTGAAGTGAATAATTTTATACCCACATTGACTGTTATTCTTTATGTATTGCATGTGCATGGACTAAACCGCTTGTTGCTTTCAGACTTGTGTGTTGGGTAGCTTTTTTCATCACTTTCAATCTTTTCACTGTTAATAATAGTTGTTGTCCATTTTTCCAGTTTCCTAAAAGCATCCATACAGTGTGATATAGGCATAAATAACATGTTTTTCACCTACTCAGACCTATTGCCACTTATTGGAATATTTTCATGTTTGACACCCAACATACCAAGGTGACCCTTCAATACTGATGCTGAGTGTATTTTCCTAAAGACTTACTACATTGTTCTTACATGATATCTGTTTATTTATGAATAGAAATATCAAATGTCCAATCAGAATCAATACAGTTATGTGATTCTTTTTAATTCAGAGGTAGATGTTTCATCATCTCATGTTTCAAATTGTTCCATGTGACAGGTTACCATGGTTATCTGACTAACACAATTTGTTGTAAGGAAACCACTTTCTCAAGAGAAATGTTGTATGTGGTCCCACTGATTTTCTGTAATGGTTTTGTTTATTTTCCTACTTTTTGTTGCTCACCCCCCCAAAAAGTTATTTTAACCTTGTAACAAATTCATTTTGATTCTGCAGAACATTCCAGTTAAACTTTATTTTTTTATTATATTTTTTTAAGTTCATTTGTATTCTGAGTCATTTCCTCACCACCATTGTAACACAAATGGAAAGATAGAAGTTAGTTTTGTTTTTCTAAGTTTATATATTTTAGAGTCGATTGATGTAGCCACGAGACAACTTGAGATTAAACTGGACTGACAGTGCAATGTGAACTTGCAATATAAAGATCCTGCAATATGATCTGTGTTATAGTCTTGGACACAACAATTATAATATTAAAAGCGACAAAATGCTTTCCATATAAACAAGAAATCTCTGCCAAAATCAGAGTCGATTGTACGATTCTGACAATATCATGAACATGTGATTATACATCACTGTCACATAGTGATGACACCTGGTGTTCGCAAAAAGGTGAGCTGTGTGTGAAAAGCAAAAACACGTTCTTCAGTTTTGAGATGAAGTTTTCATCACAAACCTTGAATACAGTGACTTTTCACTCTGTTTGAAGGACAAACTTCTATTGCAAACAGGGGCGGTCGGGTAGCCTAGTGGTTAAAGCGTTTGCTTGTCACGCCGAAGACCTGGGTTCGATTCCCGACAATATGTGAAGCCCATTTCTGGTGTCCCCCGCCGTGATATTGCTGGAATATTGCTTAAAGGGGCGTAAAACCATACTCACACTATTGCAAACACAGACATAAGTCCAATATGCAGACACTTGTTCCACAGTGATCTTTGCATAACTACAATCGTAACTCCAATACTATCATGTAGATGTTATGATAACTGCAGCACCAGAGTGGATTGGTGGAACTTGGCCCTGAGAATGAAAACAACTTGTGAAACAATACTTATAGATAGAGAATGAAACCTTATGATTGAGTTGAGTATCACAGTGTACAAACATAACTTCCTCAGAACATAGATTTAATAGCTGTAGCACTAAGATTGCTTTGTGGCTCTGTGGATTATAACAACTTGTGAAACGATACATTCAGATTCAATGATGTATTACTGAGTTGAATATTGCAGTGCACTGATCATCAGTTTGACATGACAGCCTTTCTGCACATCAATGATGATTTTGTTAATCATCGTCATTGTCGAGGGGCACGGGTGGCCAAGTCATCTAAGGCGCCGCGATTCGCTGTGCAGAGTTGCGTCCCTTGGGTACGCCAGAAACCTGTGATTGTTGGTTCAATTCCCGGTTCGCCCCGATTATGTTTCTAGGTTTGTCAGCACCATACCCATGCTCATTGGTTTCACCGAAGTGGTAAACGTCTGAGACCTGCATCACTTTGGGCTTTCCTCCCACGTTAAGCTGACACGCCGTGATATGACTGGAATACTGTTAAAAGCGGCAATTTAACCCAACTCACTCGTCATTGTCGAAAAATAATGAATCCTTATTGGGTCCTCATCATGATGCTAATGGTACAAATAAAGATTAAGGGGGTCTCCAGATTGAAATACGATAGGAACAAACCTCCAGGACCCTAGGACCCGATATTTCCAATCCAGATATATTTCATCCAGACAGTCAGACTTGCTGGTCAATAACTTGCCAGTCAAATACTACAGGGGATAATAATTAGTGCTCATTTTATAAGTGTGTCATTTGTGAATTCTGTTGCTTTATTTTATTAACAAAATCCACAACAACAAAATCAGCCAGACCATTGGACATGCATGTTTTAGGTAGGACTGTCTGAGACAAAACCAGCCAGTCTCTGATGGTCGAGCAGGCAGGTACTTTAAACACTGCAGTGTCCCATTAATATCAAAACGGATCATTTGGTGATAATCTTTAGTGCCACCCCTAGTGTTATGTAGAAAAGGGGTTGGTCATGACAATCTGTCTTGCCTGAATGCTTCTGTACAAAATAATGTATCTTGATCTGATCTCTCCCCCATGCTCACATGTCTATCCTGCAATATTTACCTACGTTTTTGTTTGCTTTACTTACCATGTGTGTCGTGTAAATATTACTTGTTATTTATGTTTTGTATATAACCTGAATGTTAAAACAATAGTTTTGTATATTTAATTTGTATATATGTAAATCTCACAGAAATCAATAAACAATTAGTACAGTTATATTTTCCTGTTCATTTATGATATGATCATAGCTGATTTTCTATGAAGATGATAACTGTTTAAATATTTTGGTCCTATGTGGAAGTCCATGATAAAGTTGGTCAATGAGAATGTTGGTTTGAAGGCAACACCAGGACCTGACCACAGTTGTGTAATATTCGCTGTGGCCTAAACAATAACAAAGGGATACAACCCAATACAATCTTTCGCCACACTGCAGAACATCATCATATTGCTGAACATCACCATATCGCTGTAGCCTAAACAATACCTAAAGGATACAACCCAATACATTTTATTGCCACATTGCTAAACATTATGATATCGCTGTTGCTTAAACAATAACGAAGGGATGGAGCCCAATACATTCTATTGCCACATTGTTGAACATTATATCATTGTAGCTTAAAAAATAACTAAAAGCATACAACCTACTACATTGTACCGCCACATTGCTGAACATTATGATATTGCTGTAGCCTAGTCAATAACTAAGGGATACAACCTAATACATTCTCTCGCCACATCGTAAACATCATCACATTGCTGTAGCCTGAACAGTAACAAAGGAATACAACCCAATACATTCTCTCACCACATCTTAAACATCATCACATTGCTGTAGCCTAAACAGTAACAAAGGAATACAACCCAATACATTCTCTCACCACGTTTTTTTCATACTTGCGGGGTTTGTTGTGGCTAATGCTGATGGTTTTCGTTGGAAATTTTCAGGCGGCGAACACTCAAACCCCACACATCCGACAACACATCATGTTAACCTTTTACACAGACTCGCACATACAATGCTGATAACAAACATTTAATTAATAAAGATATTCAGAGTGTACTTTTTTCACCAATAGTGTAGGTCAAATTAGTATGTTGTTGTGACTGACTTCATTTTTTTGGTTTTTATTTGTTGTTGTTTAACTCTTCACTTAACAATTTTCCAGCGATATGACAGTGGTCTGCAAATAATTGCTGTCTGACATCATGAGTATTGATCCATGCAGTGAACCAAGTCACCTCTTACAACAAGTTTAGGTTGCTGGGGGCCTATAATCTTACCCCGGAATCTCTGTGGATGGACTGACTTCAGGCCAAACGACCAGGTATGGTTAGTATATTTCCCCTGACCACAGAACAAACTGATTTCATCTTTACCATAATGCCCTAAAATTTAAATTGTGATTTAAAATGACACACAATTTCTAAATACTCGCAATACTACGTTATCTTATCGTTATTAAAAGTAGAGGTGTTGCTTTCCCCCGACAAACAGTAGCCCTTTTCCCTAAATGAGGTGCCGTTTTCGCCTGCACCTGTATATAACCAGTGATAACTGATTTCAATACTTTTATTAAGTGTATGTTCGGACAAAAAGCACTCCAGAATGGATGCCATACAGTATATAATGTATGCTAGAGAATTCATTTTTCATCCAACAAATGCATGTAAATTTTGTACTTGATGTTACAGATTATTCTGGCATTAATTTTCTAAAACACAAACTTTCTCATTCTGCTTTATACAACAAGTAAACCAATGCAGCAGTGTAAGGATCAAGGAATACATACATCCATGCCTTGAGCTGTTTCTGACATTTCTAGAGGGCAATATTTGGGATAAATAATTTTCAGTGATGGCCATGATGTCATGTGATTATACAACGGCAGAATTGGAACTTGCTTTTCCTGCCCTCAGTTGAAATTCTATCAATGCTAAGACATGAAAGAGTTATCCCCCTTCAACTATACACCACACTTTTCTTCTTGTGGTCAGGCAGGTTCAAATAAAATGGATGTCACAGTTGATCAACAATACTGTGTCAGTTTAGGGTTGGAAACTAAGAATTTCCTATAAATTCCTAGAATAGAGAGAATCCAAATTGGTTTTTTTACTTGAAACTTTATTGACATAAACCTTTTATGGTTACCTTACGTAATATATGATGCCCTCATGGACACATCTGTTAAATATCGTGTACTCTTAGATGTAAAAATCCAATATTATTGCACTTATATAGCGACGTGCATGCACATGTGTGTGTGTGTGTGTGTGTGCGCTCGCGCGGTTGTTTGTACCAATCCGTACTTTTGCAGATTTTATAGTGCTAGCCCACTTAAATATCAATATAGTTTAACATGAATACCCCACTCAGACATAGTACTCTGACCCTGAGCTGACCAGTCCTTGTTTTAGCCCCTTAATGCCAAGCGCCAGGCAGGGTACCATCTTTTAATGTCTTTTGGTATGACGCAGTCGATAATCGGACCCCGGACCTTCTGCTCTCCGGGCGGACACACAACTCAACCACAGATTCGGTGATTCACCAGAAGTTGTTTATGATCTGATTGTGGTATGAATGGTAAATAAAGTACCATAGTTGTATACAAGTCATACAATGAAAACATCAGTACTTTACTTTGTCAATATAAATGAATACCACATGTACTGTTAATGGAGTAAGATAACATTTCCCTAAATCAAATAATGGAATGCACAACTTAAACTCACTTGAATTTTCATTTCAGAGCAGCTAAAAATAGTAATCTCCGTTTTATTTATGGTCATGTGTTGCAGCGATCAAATCCTTGATGAAAGAACAGTCTGAGGTTAAGGCTGATTTGGACATGTCTGGGAAATGTTTATTTTTTCATTTAGATATGCCTGCATGCAAAATAGCCTTTTCATTTTCAAAAAGAACAAATGTTTTCAATCTGCAAGTTGGAATCTTGCTGTAGTATGATGCATCCAACAACTAAAAACACAATGACTACTTCTGAGTCATGCATTAGTGTGCTGCATTGTTGACCTATATACTCAAGATTTATCTAATGCATCCTTGACCTTCACCACCCAGACTTATCGTTTTATGCATCCTTGACCTTCACTGTCCAGATTTGTTGTCTGATGCATCCTTGACCTTCACCATCCAGATTTGTTGTCTGATGCATCCTTGACCTTCACCATCCAGATTTGTTGTCTGATGCATCCTTGACCTTTACCACCCACTTATTGTCTGATGCATCCTTGAACTTAACCATCCACTTATTGTCTGATGCATCCTTGAACTTAACCATCCACTTATTGTCTGATGCATCCTTGACCTTTACCACCCACTTATTGTCTGATGCATCCTTGAACTTAACCATCCACTTATTGTCTGATGCATCCTTGAACTTAACCATCCACTTATTGTCTGATGCATCCTTGACCTTTACCACCCACTTATTGTCTGATGCATCCTTGAACTTAACCATCCACTTATTGTCTGATGCATCCTTGAACTTAACCATCCACTTATTGTCTGATGCATCCTTGAACTTAACCATCCACTTATTGTCTGATGCATCCTTGAACTTAACCATCCACTTATTGTCTGATGCATCCTTGCTTGATGCATACTGAAACACTTGCTGGGTCAAAAGACACATCACTACAGTCAGCCATGATCATGAACAGTAGAACCATGCTTCATATATTAATTATATATGTTACTATATGGATGAAACGTTTCCCTTGTACACAACATATTTCATAAACAATTCATTCATATTACAGCTTGGTATGAAAAGCAGGGAGGGGATCTAGCTTTACCAATGGGTGTTTCTTGCACCTGTCACAGCAGGAACTTCAGTCCTCAGTATCCCATGCTTGCTTTCAGAAAAGACTGTGGGGATAAACGGGTTACACATTACCATACTCCCTGGATGTCAAGGAAATATAGGTCACTATGCACACTTCCAGTGTGGATTACAGGGCACAATAGGTCCCTAATGTCCCTTCTGGTCTGCTGCTGGCATTCTTGGGCAGTTCAGTTCCCCTGAAACCCATGCTTGTTGCAAAAGGTACCAGTGTGCAACCTGGTTGATTTTGTGTCACCGTTTGCTCATGGCATGTATGTCTGAGACTTAATTAGTGACAGACCGTCATGATATAGCTGTAATAAATGCGGCTGGCATAAGAACAACTTTCACTCACTCACATACAGCTGTGGTCCTGCTTAACATTAAATGCTTTTTAAAGCAAGAATGAGGTACCATTGAGCTAGTAATATATTTAAATTTAGAATTTGTATAGCACAGTTTCCATTTATAACAGATCTAAAGTGCTCCAAAGGCTTACTTGAAGAGCCAGTTCTTGAGGGATTTGTCAAAGTTTGTGTAAGTTTCTGTTCTCTGATGGGATTGCATTCCAGAACACTTGGCCAGGAGGCTGCAATAACAAGTCACCCTATTTTGAAGGGAGATTGTTCCATAACACTTGGCCAGCATGGTGAAATAACCTGTCACCATGTTTTTGGTACTTGACTGGTCCTGGAACATGATCCGGTTGAGGCTGTGATGGAGGGTATCACATAGATTTGTTTTGTTTGCTTGTTGTTTAATGCTTCATTCAGCAATATTCCAGCCTTGCTGTAAATAATGAAATCCGGACCAGACAAACCAGTGATGGATGCTGTGATCCATGCGGTCAGGGAACAATAATATACAATCAACAAGTTGATGAAGTCACCTCTAATGTGGTTGCCTGAGGCCAATCAGGACACAGAATCTCCAAAGGGTACATCACGTTAAGAATTATCCAAAAGAACAAAACAACACCAGACACTGGGACAGAACATTTTATGTGGATCCATGGATTTGCTGTTGGACAGTTTCTCATAGAAATATTCATATACATGTACACAGTGTACACACACAACCGCCCAAGGTGAGGATCAAATCTGTTCAAAGTCAAGACAGGTCAAGGTCAATTGGTGGAAAAACACTAAATCTAATAGTTGAGATTTAATCTCTGAAAGTAGCTTTGTTTTAACTTTCCACTTAACTACTGGAATCTGCAGACTGAAAACCACTCAATTTGTAATATTTGTAACTAATCTCAGATTGCGAAGACCTTATCCCTTGACTTCTGACCAAATTTCCATCACAGTTGGACGGTATTGCATGCCGGCAAAACTTGCATCAGAGTTACTTTCAACTCATAGACGATGGATACAACTGATGAAATTCTATTTAATGTGACCCCACAATTCCTGTCCCTCACAGCCATGCTGTCTCTTCCTACCTCCTTTTTATCACGCTAGAGAGTAGAAAAGGGAGACAACTTGGCTAGAAAGAAATATTTTCAGTTGAACGCCATGCTGCAAGACATTAGGAAATTTACAACAATTATAAAAATATATAAACCTTTGTATTTTATCACTCTTACTATTCTGTGAAAAAATCAACAACCGACTCTACAAGCAACCCTCTGGATAAGTCTCTTAACCATTGAGGCTCAAATCAAAGAGCATTGAAAGAAACTTGTAAACAATTTTTCATTAAGTAAATCTGATACTCTAGTACAACAATCATACCAGGTGCGTCTCTCCTTGTACCTACCCTGTTTTGTCAAAAGGGCTCAGTATTTGATCATACAAAACATTCATACAACTCCTTAACAATGAAGTGAAGAGGTTTACCCATATAATCATACAACTTGTATATAGATATTGACATAATCACTGAGCTGTGAGCTCCCTACCCCATAGGATGATGTCGCATAAAATGAAAATACTCAAAGAAACAAACTACTCTCTTTTGGCCAAGATTAGATTATCATAATATCATTAAAAGTAAAACCATTAAAATAGTTAAAATGTATAATAAAAGGATCAGATTTGTTAAAAGTGATATTCACAATCAATATTCAATATTCAATCAATACATAGATATACATACTTCTGAATATTATCTGTTCTTATGATACTGTTCTTGTAACATTCATATCGGAATCTTTGCCCTTGACAGATGTATTTCTTATCTGGTGAATATTCATGTCAGAAACTCTGTTATATATTCTGTTAAAATAACATTTCACTAACATTAGTTGCCTTGGTTTAGCATAATACTTCTGAATTTTATCATCCATATATCACAGGCATGAAATACAGATTTGATTTATCTTTCTTAATCTATTTGTTAATATCCCTTTCCCTATGACTTAGCATTAAAGGGGGACTAGGCTTGGGCAAACTGGCAGTCCAAGCAAGTTTTGATTCAAGTCGTTCAAACACTATGTAAATCTGCTAGCTAACATTTTATGATGTATATCAAATATGTTATTACAGTTCATACCTACATACTAATAGAGTCAGTGCCTCAGTGTCAACCATGGAATATTCATGGGGCCGAGGATTTTTGCCTAATTTGTTTAAGCAGAAGTACAATGTTTTTCACTCCAGACAAATAATTTTTTTTTTCCCACAACACATTTCCTTCAGAATGTGATTCCCATTGAATATTTTTGTGTTTATATATAACTTGAGAGAATTATTGTTTTAAAATACCAGCCCCCAAACCAGAATATCGAATGGTCGGCCTCCAATAACATCTAGATCTGTATTGATAATGGCAACAAACCACGAAGCATAGTCCCCCTTTAAGTGTCAAATACAAACTTGTAACGCAATTACCATCCATGAGTTGTCTGTCACTTTAAAATTTGTTTGTTTACTCAAAAACACAGACCGCATTTCTCAATCTGTAGCTTCAGTACAAGAAACTGACAAAGTCGTACAAATCTTATAAAAACTACAGGTACAAAGATCTACGTTAACTACGTTTGGACGGCTACGATGTCAATTGTAGTTTGTCGAAAACACTGTGTACTTTGAACCCTTTAAGTAATATGTACAGGGCCAGACTTCAATATATACACACGAAAGGTGAAGTGTTTGGCACTGGTCACTACAAGCTCGCATCCCTCTGTAGTTTCATCGTCATCTCCTCACAAATGCATGGTGGGTACCAGCATTGCTGGAAATTTCAGTGATGCTTCCTGAACACAAATTCACAACTGAAATACCTCAAAATTTGTTTAGAATATGTAATTCTCAGTCCAAATTCTCAGGGAATGTTTCATTAAAGCATCCCTCCTGGTGCCATGTCCACCTCTACTCCCATAGACTTTCAGCAAAAACAGACCAGGGCCTCGTTCCACAGAGAGATCTTGGTGCCAAGAAGACTGTAATCTCCTACTGACAGAATTAGGAGTCCTGTTATAATCCCTTCATGGGACAGTGAGTGAGTGAGTTGGGTTTAACGCCGCTATTAACATTATTCCAGTTGTATCATGGCGTGTCAGCTTAATGTGAGAGAAAAGCCCTAAGTGATGCAGGTCTTGGACATTTACCACTTCGGTGAAACCCATGAGCCTGGGTATGGTGCTGACAAACCTAGAAACCTTATTTGGGACGTACCGGGATTCGAACCTACAATCATAGGTTTCTGGCGTGCCCAAGGGACGCAACTCTGCACCGCGAAACGCGGCGCCTAAAACGACTGGGCCACCTGTGCCCCCTCATGGACAGACACCAGGTTATTGGAGATCAACTAAAATTTTACAAACTTATTTAACAAGTCCCTTAGAGTGTCATATTCAGAGTTGAATGTTTACAGAGCAAATACTTTCAAATAAGTGAGAGACATATTATACATACTGCAAATACAGCATATGTATAGTGAGTATGTATATATATTTTTTTTTTCACTAAATGATACTCTGAACTGAAGTCAATGCCCCTGGGCTGATATCAGAGACAAAACAATAAGCTTACACATATTTCCAACTAAAATACATCCAAGAACATCTGTTACACTGGAGCTCATTTCCATTCTGAAATCATATTCTAAAACAATTCTCTGGACAAATACCGGAGAGAATGCAATAAAATTAGCAATCAGGTAACAAGTTCCAATCTAAATATATCCACGATTATTTATCAGTTACACTGTATTAAATCCGAAAACTTATGCCAAAACAAGCTCTCATATCTACTCCTTCTCATACCCAAGTGAATACAAATATTTCAGTATAGAAACCACAGAGATTCTGAATTGTGTCTTCAGGAGGGCACACGGAAGATTTGGACCAGCATCTCACACAAAAAAAGTGTTGAATGTACGAATACTGATCAGGCGAGTTGGCATGCTCCAGTAGCAAGCATACCCAACACAAGAGTTTGTGCATGTATTAGCGCCACGGGGAAGGGGTGTAAATGCTGACACAGTCTGAAGGAGTGAATGTGATTTAATGTTGCAAGCATGCAAAGTCACTTCTGTATTCCGTGTTCAAAAAGAAATATCAAACAACTTAATGAACTGTGCAATACGTAGAACTGACATTTCAAAGTAGATAATTACAGTGTAAACATTCACAAATAGGAAACTTTATCATACTGTTTTATTTCTGGGAAAATATGAAATTTTAAGAAATAATCATTTAAAAACATATAATGTCCATCACATTAACATCTTCAATGCCCAAGCACAAATCATTATCAAGACTCTCATTGCACTTATTTCACAATGTTCTATAAACAAAGTGGTGCCTTTCAATTACACATTGAGAAGCATATATCCCAGTAGTCAGATCGCACACAATCTTTCAAACATCACAGCAGTGAAACAGAGTCTACTTTCATAGTGCATAGGTCGTGGACTATTATAGGAAATACAGCCATATTGTGGACTACACATATAAGTCTAGCATTTGATTGTGAAACCATTCTAAATAAAAAGATCTGGAGTTTTGATTTCTTCGACCGGACTCACTTTTAATCTAAACATAACTAACAAATAGGAAACAAACCATAATTAACCAAAATGTAAACATGTGACATAAGAATCACATTGGCAACCAATTTGATTTTCTTTAGCAATTTCCATTTCCTCTATTTTAGGTGCTTGCTAAAAACAAAAATAGTTCTGATTTCAAAATAATTATCCGACTCACAGAATCAGCTGACTAAGCAAAATCTGAACATTAACAATAAAATAACAATTTTCGTGTTAAAAATGACACTTAACATGGCACAAAACTAACATGAATGGTCATGGTAACCATGGTAACAAGAATTCCTTACATCTGTATCAAATAACAATTTTTCAGAGCTTCAACAATGAAAACAAAGAAGACTTTTCCTTTTACTCACAATGGCTTCACAGCTTCAACAAGACTCTCTGATGTCATCTTTCTAATTTGTTCACACAACAAGCAACAGCAGAAACAAAATAACAGTTTCAGTTCTTCACTGGGAGCCCTCTGCTGGCGTTCAACTGAAAACTCGGGACTGAAGATGTCCTCTTTACATTTGTTTAAGACACAGCACCTTTCTGCCACATGGGAGTGATCTAAGAATGAATTCAATAAAAAATCTGATTAAAGTGATTTCTTAAAAATCTATATTTAGCACTGATAAGTTCATCACTTTAAAAACCCAACAGCCTGTTCAATATACACATCTTTACACACAGCGTGATAGAGCTGGAACGATGATTCACATCCCGATACTGGATTCACAATGCGGTAAGTCCTATTGCAAAATGTAACATTATTCACAATCATTTCTTTAGCTGCTATAACTTCTATCCAAAGCTCCATGTCTCTGAATGTTGCAAAACACCGAGTCGGCAATATTCCAGCCATAACAAGATGGCCTGTCAATAGAATTTGGACCAGTCTTAAACAGTGATAAAAAGTATCCACATCATTGGGTAAAGAGTCTAGAGAGTGACCATCCGGTATTTTCTAGTTACCTTTTATGACAAGCATGTCAAGGCCAAATCTGACTTCGAATTCCCATACCTGTCAAACGAAGCAGATCACTCTACATGTAGGACATTAAAACTTTCTTTACTTCGACCATGCAACTATATTCAAAACGTTTTTGTTCAGAATTCTTTAAATGGCCCTATCATGGGTAATATGGTAGGAATTTTGTCCTTACAGTAGTATGTATTGTATCATGGGTCATATCACATAGTATGTATCGTATCATGGGTCATATGATATGATACACATTGTATCATATGCCAATATCCTTATAGGTACCAGTATTGTATCGTGGATCTCATTACGTAGTAAGTATCGTGGATCACATTTCGTGGTATGCACCATATCCTGGATCTTAGCACATACTACGCATCGTATCGTGACATTCTTTATCGTTGCAGCCCTACAGTGCAGTGAGCACAGGAGTCGATACTTCCCTTAGAGTGAGTGAGGGCATTTTGATTCAGCGTATTGTTAATAATGTTCTTAGACATTCCAGTTTCTATCAATAAGCTAATCACAATGAAACTAACTTCATGTTCTGCATTCAATCAAAGACCATGTGTCCTGTTTTTTGCTCATTCACATCTAATGTTCTTGTTCACATTCAACATTCCCGTACATAACAAAAATTCTAATGTTCCCCATTTGTAACGAACAAAATTTGTTTGTCACAAACGTCTGTTCACATTACCATTACCTGATTATTAGTTCTGCGTTTTTTTATCACGAGACATACATGTTTACATTTAATTATCCTTCTGATGACTAATATTCCTTTTTTATCACTTATATAATATATTCCTCTATTACAGATCTGTAAATAAATTGCAAGCAACTCCTCGGTATGTCATGGTTCACCAAGCAAAGTTTTCTGTTTTTATGCTTCCAAAATCCAGGAAAGAATTACACCATACCCACTAACAGACTGCTGTTTCTTGATTGGCTGATAATAGGAAGGGCGGTGGTAGTGTTGCATTATTGCTTTGAACGATATTCCACGGGTTTTAACGTTTAAACTTCACAAATGCAAAACATTTTGAAGTCAATTCTTAAATTCTTGAAGTTATCCTGCAACAAACAAAGAGTCATTTTATCTTGTTTTCAAGGGTACCCGTGGTAAATGATTTTGTTCGTTTTGCACGCTAGATGTTACATCCATCAATTTCAAACATGTTTGATTGGCTATTTCCTATTCTGTGTTTCCGGATTTGATTGGACACTTCCATAATATTCTTTTTTATATTCATGTCAAGTGATTATTATCACTTGTGTCATACATTTTTTTCTGGAGTAATGCAAGCAGTTTTATATGCAAGTTGTCATGTTCTTCCTCATACACCCAGTTTTCTTAAAAAGGGCTTTGAAAGCTGAATTTTGATAAAAGATATTCTTTGTGCACATTATTTGCCCATCAATGGATTAAACTAAAAATAAACAAGTCGTTTTATAGACTAACACCAAGTGCAGTGACTTCAAATAACTAATTTTGTTGTTTAAGAAATATGTAATACATTCATAATATGATTAAAACTATGAATTAAAAGCCGCAAAGTAAAAGGTATCCCTGACTAAGCAGGAGGTAAAATATCAACCGATTTCGCCAACAGAGGTTCAAAAGTCAACACATATCAACTTATTAACAAATAAACAATAACAAGCTTCAAACTTAGTTTCAGTATCCATTACTGTATCATGGTAATGTATGGACATCCTATTAACATGAATGCCCCTGATGTTTCTTAGTTTATTTCAGCAACAGTTAAATAAACCAATGCGTAAGAACAATGTCACCTACCGACCTACTGAGTCTACCTATGACTCAGATTCATATTTCAGACCATGAAATGTCATGTCCTAAAAATAACTATGACAACTGTGTATGTCAAAATAGACATTTAGAACTGATCATTTCTTTCATCCTTTTCATTGTAAATATCCATCACATTCCCAAACCAGTGTTTACGCAATATCAATACCTTGGAAATCAGAACTTGTCCTAGCGATACCAATAAAGATTTCTGACTAAGTCAATTATCAGTATAGGAGTTTGATGGTAATAGTGATATTATTTCATGGATGATGGCCTAGGATCTACTTTTCAAACCTTTTTAATGCTATACCAGTAATTCTAATAGTTTAATGTAGACTTACAATGAATGCAAGTGTATAGGTTTAAGATAAACGATACAGTGATACTTAATGAATCAAGAACTTTCTAAACGCTGTGACAGTAAAATAACAAGTCAGACTTGTGGAACCGGCCCGATTATCACTAATAGAGGGAAGTATCGACTGAATTGTGATCACGTGATCTTCTACTGTTGAACATTAGTGATGACGGTGACACAAATGAAGCACAAATGATTTGGCACTCAATGACTGCACACACAATCGTGTTGTCTTTCTTACCACCAACATAACAAATACACCTAGTTTCGCTACATAAAGCATCACCTCAGTAGCCCAAGTCTACAATTCTGATTCTTTCTCTATATAAATTTAGGTGAAAACTTAGGCTAATGAGCTGATGGCACAATTGGCAAACTTATCAGATTATCAAAATCAGTAAAAAGATTGCCTGCTTAGAAACCAGCTCAGCCAACATGATATGCTTCTGTGGTACAAAGTATGCTTTACTCATCTTTTAAAAAAAAAATATAAAAAAAATACCACTATGCTTAAACTTCTAACATGCTGTTATAGGATTGGTAACGTATAAAACTTGCCATTTTTAAACACAGGTACAAGGGATCATTTTCTCCCTTTTGAATGACTATACATGTTGTCATGGTAGAGTTACCCCCCTTGCCTTGCCACTGAGTCACATTGGAAACATGGTGCCCCTTCCCAGGGTCCATCATTTCTTTCTCTGACTTCCTGTTCACTGGTATCTTTCACCATAACCAAATGGATTGCATGTGTGTTTTTGGAAATGGTTGCTAACCTAAAATCAAGAATTATACATGTATGTTCAAAGATGAAAAGTGAAAACTAGTATTGCTATACAAATGTAAATGGAACTACAATGACATGATCCCAAGGACATATTGCTGATTCCAATCCTCTCATGTGACTATATGGCAAGTAAGGGAAAGTAACTCCTCCAGTTTGGTCATCCCTTCCTGCACACCAACTCAGTTCTCTGGGTATGCACGCACCACATGAATATCCATCCGTTCACTGTATGTGTTAGCTAGATCTAGAAACCCATGCGTGTCAGATATATCTACAAGTTATGATGAAAAGGCGAACAAGGGGGAGATAATCCTGTGCATATAAATTTGCGGGCGTGGTCATACCGCCTTGTGCCGGCCACCGCAGCAACGACAGTAGATGCCACATCTATGACAGGCAGTCAAGGGCCAGTAGCACCATAAACAGGGCACAAACAACGATAAAATTGTCAGTGCGGTCCATTTTTTGCAGTTGGAATCATCGCGAGGATCACACTCACAAGGGTGTCTGTATTCGCCATCAGCATCCGACATACAGTGGTATATCAAACATTTGGAACACGCTACACAAGTCACGCACTCAATAAATTTTTCGACACCATCTGGGGCGTCTTCACAACTGCCCCGTTGGTTATCGTCCAGAGAGAACACCTCATGGCAGTGTTTGCACCGCGATCGGTTGTTCAGCAACCTTCCTGATGTCCCCCCAGGCTTGTGGCGAGTCTTGTGCTTCTTTTTGAGTGGTAGAGGGGGATGCTGAATAATCAAAGGCTGTGTCTTCATGCTAGTGGTCGACTCCCGTTTTGTAGGTGGTTTCGGCATTGGTTCTAAGTTAGGGTAGCTGTATTCATGAGGTGCCCCTGGCTTGCTTTTAGAAAATGTCACATAGGAGTCCTCTTTGCTCATTTCTACATTAGGGTCCGTGTCTAACAACAGTGTGTCGGACTTGCCGCTTAATGACGTAGGGTCGTCAGGACGAATCCAAACGTCATCCTGCCCACTAGAACTCTCGAAACTGTCTGATTTATGTGAACTTTTATCACTGGGCGGTGAGGAGGCGTTTTTATTGGTCCGATTTGGACCAGACATGTAGTGGACAAGATGGAGATGATGATGGTTGGCATGAGGGTGGGGGAACGGGAAGGCATCGGGGAGCCCCGATATCGGACTGCTAACGGGGGAACGTGGAGCTGGACTGGAGGTGGTGGTCGACGTTGTTGATGCTGACTGGGACGAGCTGTCCTTGCCCCCGGAGAGAGGCAGCTCCACGATCTGAAACATAAAACCTAGCATCAGTACAGGGGACACTATCTCAGCTCCATAAAGATGGTCAAGTTGTCATTGGCTCAAAGAAAACTGTGATAACAGTAACATCAAACTGTGAAAACAGAATGACTATTAACGTCAATGAATGAATCACCCAAGTAAAGTGAATAAGAAAACACACCCTGATGCATAAAACGGTCATTGACAGTGATCTGCCCCCACGTTCCTGTTAACACCCACAGCAGCATGCATACAAAGACGTCACCAAGTCATTACACTACCTGAAATACTTCCTCTTCTCCCGTCATGGAATTTCCCATGCTGCCAGCTGAGCCTGCAACACATACAATAACGTGAACGTGCATGAAGTCTTTTGCTGGCCTGATGCCTGTCAATTAACACCACCCCCATGTGTCGCAGTCCTCCCTGAACAGACTCCTGCAGACAGGCACTGAGCACTTTCTGACACTGCCCACGTAGCTGTAAATATTTTCAATCTGATGTCAAGAGTTTTTAGATAGCATAGATGCTCACCACTCTTGTGAACCCGTATAGCATTCATGGTCGTAACAAGTAAAGGGTTATATTCAGAGCAAAGTCCAAATCCACAACCATTGCACATAGGTGCGCCTAAGGGATGAAACGCTGTACATTGCAGCGCATGTTTATCCGTTCCTCATGTCTGCTATTCATTGTTTAATGCCACACTCGGCAATATTCAAGCTATGTGACAGCGGTCTGTAAATAATCGAGTGTGTACCACATATTGTAATACAACGACATGCAAACAACAAAGTCATCAAGCCTTACTATCAGATTCATTAAGTAGCCTCTACGCATTGAATGTATGAGGCACTGATCCACATTAAACAAATAGCTATGACAGAAAAAGAATATTTCACTTATTAAAGGTCAATCCTTAAAACTTTCATTTATACAGCACTAAGATTTCTGGTCAGGAGAGTATGGTTTTACGCCGCTATTAGCAATATTCCAGCAATATCACGGCGTGGGACACCAGAAATGGGCTTCACACATTGTACCCATGTCGGGAATCGAGTGAGTGAGTGAATATGGTTTTACGCCGCTTTTAGCAATATTCCAGCAATATCACAGCGGGGGACACCAGAAATGGGCTTCACACATTGTACCCATGTCGGGAATCGAACCCGGGTCTTCTGCGTGACGAGCGAACGCTTTAACCACAAGGCTACCCGACCACCCCGGTCAGGAAAGAGAGAATGAGTGAGAGAATATGGTTTTACGCTGCTTTTAGCAATATTACAGCAACATGATGGTGGTGGGGAGGGGGGACCTCCACAAATGGGCTCCACACATCATACTTGTGTGGGGAATTGAACACACTACGCTTCCCCACTGCCCCTAGAGAGGATGAAATCAAACAAGTTCAGAATGACATACAATCACGTTGTAATGTAATTTCTGAGATACAACAGTTAACATTTCTTCAGTAATCAATCTTCTTTCGGTAATCAACGGTTAGAGCAAGATAGTATATAATCAAGGATGTTAATTAAATCCTTCGAGTATGAAACTAAAGAAAGTTTGTTACTAAAGATCATACCTTCTGTGAGCTCTGCCACCGCCCTCTTGATACCACGATCAAACTTTTTGGCATCATCATACCTCTCAAACGTTAAACCAAACCTTTGTTCATCGGTCTTCCAATGATGAAATTTGGGATTTGCCTTTGTGTACTGAATGTCCTTCTTCAATACACAATCCAGTACAACCTGCAACAGAGGAACACAGTCTTCACACAGTTCACAACCCAAGGAAATCAGTTGTTGATAGCACGAGTGTGGTTTAACATTGCGTTCAAGATTATTGCACTTATGCAACGATGTGCATGTATTATCTTTTACCATGCATCCGGGATTTGAACCTCCAGTCTTCCGCTCTCTGGGCAGACACTCTATCCACTTGACCATGGAGGATTATGATGTATGTATATTGACGTCTAATTCACACTACAGTTGGAGTCAACTATGTTCATGTCAGATGAAATCTACATTCCTGTTTGTTTTTTAAACTTAATATTATTTGCACCTCTGTTTACACAAAGTCAATAACCTGATTTAACCAATGTAGGTCATAACAGTAACCTATCATGTGTGCATCAAGTCTTCCACATTTTCCAATCCTCGGACCCATCCCGTATACCACATGACATTTCACTATTGATTCACTATTGAACTCACTACTATATGAAGGTAAGCTTTCAAAAAGACAAGCTTCCAAAATGTAAGAAATTATTATTTAGAGTTTGCAGTGAAATATGGTTTTGTTTCTCTAAACCCATCATAACTTGAAATATGCAATCACATTTGAATGATTTCATCAAAATATTTATAGTCTTCTGTCGTTTTGATGAAATAGCTACGTGTTGCCTTGTGTTGTGATGAGAAACTTGTGCTGCACGGGCAAAAACACAAACTCAAATATTTTGCTTGATATTTTACATACTTTATCAAATTATTTTGAGATATTTGATCATAATTTGCCAGTATATAAGCAAGACAAAACACTCAGTGGTCATGCTTGAGATTCTTAACTCTCAAGACGAACGAGTGTGAGCAGCAGGGAAGAGAAACAAGGATCTACGTGTAGTATTTCCTAACTATTTTTAAACTTAATCAATTTAGGGATTTTATATCTCATTAGGAGAAAGAGACATACATCAGCTATTCTAAAAATCTCTGCAGCAGACCTTGACAACTACATTCAGTAGCAAGAAACTATTACCGGAAACATGCATTGGTTTATTGTTCCCCAAGGCAGCTAATAATGACTTTAGCCTGCAAGATTCTTCCAAAAATAGAATATATCTTTCATCTTTAAAACATAATGCTGCCTGTAGTCATGTGCATTTTATATTTGAAATCATTCACAGTGATATCAAATCTACTTCCTAAATATCCTGGAGGACTAACAGTCAGCTTAATGTGTGACGAAAGCCCCAAGTGATGCAGGTCTCAGACGTTTACCACTTCGGTGAAACCCACGAGCACGAGTATGGTGCTGACAAAACTAGAAACATAATGGGGGCGAACCGGGATTTGAACCCACAATCATAGGTTTCTGGCGTGCCCAAGGGACGCAACTCTGCACAGCGAATCGCGGCGCCTTAGACGACTGGGCCACCCGTGCCCCCTGTCTCTCTCAAGAAGTAAGCTTCATACAGACTGGGCTCTTTCAGAACTAAGCTCTTATATAGACTGGGCTCTTGTGAGAACAAATCCCTCATAATATAAGTAATATAGAACGGGCCCTTGTGAGAACCCAGCTCTCATATAGACAGGGCTCTTGTCAGTCCTAAGCTTCATATAGATTGGGCTCTTTCAGAACGAAGCTCTTGTATAAACTAGACTCTTGTGAGAACTAAGCTCTCACAATTTACATTATACAGTCCGGACCCTTGTCAGAACCAAGCTCTCACATGGATTGGGCTCTTGTCATAACTAAGCTCTCACATAGACTGGGCTCTTGTCAGAACTAAGCTCTTATACAGATCTGTGCTCTCACAGGCGCACAGGAACTTGACTCTTATGAACTGATCGCTGAATACATGAACAACTGAAGCAGCCCATATACATGTTGTATACTTCTCTGATGAAACCAACAGAACCCCTTTCAAAGAGCAGACAGCTGTCTCCATCCATTCATTCAACCTGGTGATTACCACAGGAGCTGGTCACAACACTGACATTTCCTTCATCAACACATGGACAACTGATTAATCCATTGATTTCTCCCAGGCCGGCTGGACATAGCTATCTGTCCCGGCAGTTGTTTCATCTTCACTACAGCATGCAATTGATGCTGGCTAGTTTGGTCAGGTGACCTTCAGGGGATCATGTGACCTGCAAGCATGGCAAGTGTGAGAGCCTGGCTTTGCCAGCTACACACATTATGTTCAGTTTCTGAAAACTGGTTCAGGACAAACTGTCAATGGATTTAGAGCCATGGGCCTTTCCAGCTGGGATGGTATGTTATGGGGCTGTGAGACTTTTATGCAATGACAAAATACCCTGGGAGAAGGGAGCATTGACAACATGTCTCCTGATGTTGGATGGGGAACTGGGACAAAATGTAGCAGGATAGCTCACACCATACATATGGTACATTCTATAGATGTGACAGAAGACGTCTGGCTCACACCATACATATGGTACATTCAATGGATGTGACAGAACACGTCTGGCTTACACCATATATGTGGTACATTCAGTGGATGTGACAGAACACGTCTGGCTCACCCCATATATGTGGTACATTCAGCAGATGTGACAGAACACGTCTGGCTCACACTATATATATGTGGTACATTCAGTAGATGTGACAGAACACGTCTGGCTCACTCTATATATATGTGGTACATTCAGCAGATGAAACAGAACACGTCTGGCTCACACCATATATATGTGGTACATTCAGCAGATGAAACAGAACACGTCTGGCTCACACTATATATATGTGGTACATTCAGTAGATGTGACAGAACACGTCTGGCTCACACTATATATATGTGGTACATTCAGCAGATGAAACAGAACACGTCTGGCTCACACTATATATATGTGGTACATTCAGCAGATGAAACAGAACACGTCTGGCTCACACTATATATATGTGGTACATTTAGTAGATGTGACAGAACACGTCTGGCTCACACTATATATATGTGGTACATTTAGTGGATGTGACAGAACACGTCTGGCTCACACTATATATATGTGGTACATTTAGTAGATGTGACAGAACACGTCTGGCTCACACTATATATATGTGGTACATTCAGCAGATGAAACAGAACACGTCTGGCTCACACTATATATATGTGGTACATTCAGTAGATGTGACAGAACACGTCTGGCTCACACCACATATATGTGGTACATTCAGTAGATGTGACAGAACACGTCTGGCTCACACTATATATATGTGGTACATTCAGCAGATGAAACAGAACACGTCTGGCTCACACTATATATATGTGGTACATTCAGCAGATAAAACAGCACAGTGGCTCACACTATATATATGTGGTACATTCAGCAGATGAAACAGAACACGTCTGGCTCACACTATATATATGTGGTACATTCAGCAGATGAAACAGAACACGTCTGGCTCACACTATATATATGTGGTACATTCAGCAGATGAAACAGAACACGTCTGGCTCACACTATATATATGTGGTACATTTAGTAGATGTGACAGAACACGTCTGGCTCACACCATATATATGTGGTACATTCAGCAGATGAAACAGAACACGTCTGGCTCACACTATATATATGTGGTACATTCAGTAGATGTGACAGAACACGTCTGGCTCACACTATATATATGTGGTACATTCAGCAGATGAAACAGAACACGTCTGGCTCACACTATATATATGTGGTACATTCAGTAGATGTGACAGAACACGTCTGGCTCACACCATATATATGTGGTACATTCAGTAGATTATGACAAACAGAAAAGGATAGATATTGAGTTGAATTTAATCATTACTATTCAAATTAATATGTTCTGCATGTCTTCATATCAAATGTCCCGGTCGTGCACAATAACACTGTGATACAAATTCTGAAATGTTTTAATGACAGATATTCTCTGTTTCAGTTTCAAACAGTTTTCCACCACTAATCAATGGGTTGCACACATCAAACTTTTGTAATAGCTACAGACATAACAAATAAACCATCATGCCACTGACCTGACATATGATCTCTAACAATCATTATACATGTACATACAGCTCAACCAACAATTGTGGTCCTTTTTTCAGCAAAGTGACAAGAAAATAGCAATATAACATATGCCAGCAGCTGTCAGCGACATATAGCTGAATGAGCAATAATCATGTCCAATCAAAAGTGAAATCTACTGATAAAACATCCAGTACTTCCTGGTTGAAAGAAGAATAGACTGTCAATCGCCACAGCCAGGTTCATTGATGCTGCTGCTGACAGGTAGGCAATGTGAATTCAAGTAACCATGGTAACATTTATTCATGAAAACATATTGGTTTGCCCATTCTGTTCGAAATAAAGAATGAAAATCAAAGGGACCATGTTTTATACCTCTAACCTAAAGATTTGGAAGGCCCTTACCTGTATTAAAACTATTATTCAATAAAAAATAGACAAAATGCCAGGGCCATTTAATTTCATACCACATATGGCCTTGCATGATAGGAATACTGTAGGTAGATTTTTCTCTTAACTGCAAAATAATAAGGTACAAGTCCAGATTTATGCAGGTTTTATAGAGCTAGCCTACTAAGACACAATACCACAAGCTAAACATGCACACCCCAATCAGAATCATTATACTCTGAGCTGACTTGTCCTTGTTTTTCTCCCCTAATGCCAACTGGTACAATCTTTTAATCTCTGTTGGTATGACGTGGGTTCATTCGAGAGAGGTATACAGCCTAATTTCATTGCTTTACAAAAATTGACACACGTCAAGACTACACTGCATATTGACGTAATTCACAGGTGATGGAGGAGGGTATACAAACCTGCGAAATATTGACGATAGTTGTATATAGGCAAGTAAACTATTTTTCCCCCAATCCACACAGGTTTTATGACACACAGACACACATTCCAACCACAAGATTATCATATTAAGCAGCTCTTACAACAATTGGGAAGAACTTCTGGAAAAATTCTACATCACAAGTTGCTTGTTTTCACAAAGCATTAAAATT